ATATATGATTAATCATAAGACAACAACACAAAAAAGTAAATCGAAAGAACTTTTTATTGAACAATAGACAAAATACATTAAAATTTATATTATGAATATAAAAACTAAATAGTATATTTTAAGTTTCTTTTTCGGTTTTCTTGTTACTGAAATGATTTTAAAGAAATAACGGGTAAATCATTTTTATAAAATAAAATTAGTTTAAGCAATGAACGCGACTATTAATTTTTATTATTTAAAACGATAAAAATATTTTATTTTTTTCTATAATTAATATAATTTGCATTATTCAATTGCGAGTTATAAACTTATATTACTATAAGATTTAATTAATAATCTATTTTTTGAATAAATTATTGCTGTCATTCACTGTAGGTATACATATATTGTACGTTCATATATTGTAATTACAAATTAATATAATTCAGTCAATTCAGCCCTTATGCAAATAATTGCTATTTGAAAAAATAAAAAATATACGCTTCGAAAATATTTGCATAAAAAATAAAACTTGAGAACTAACAGAGGCACGTGAAACCAATATATTATTCTCTTACAATAAAAAAAAAAAATCATAAACAATAAAAATAAAAAAATACAACATTTCAGCAATATATAAACTATAATGATAAGTTTATTACTGTATTGTGGTTTTCAAAACAATTTTCTATAAATCTATAGCTCTGCAAAATGATAATGATAGCAAACTTTTTGTACACTGTAAGCTGTAAAGTGTAATTTCAGTATTTATTAAAATTTGACGTACAAATTTAAACAAACTAATAATTATTTCTTATTACATAAATCAAGCCACATTAAATATTCAGAAATGAGCTTTTTTCCAACAAATTTTTGGAGTAACTAAAGTTTTGTGTAACAAATTGATAAGTTCATTAGAAAATAAATTCATTAGAATATTACGAATAACCTAGCTAAGTAATAATTATACTAAAACTTATATTCGTAACGAAATTATTCCGCCCCACATTTCGCCGTTCGAGCAAAATCTTATCTCAAACGTTGAAATTTATCGTTGCTTTTTTGAGTTTTATGATTATGGTAGTAAAGATTCCCGAACAATTGTAGGTTTTTACTTATCGTCATTTATTAGTTATTTATTTTTTTTTTTTATATAATAGTAATATGAATAGTACCATTGCATTGTGTCTGCAAGACGAGATAATGAACAATAAAAAAATTATACAGCTGGTATTTTTTCATGAAAATTATTTTATTTCATAAATTCTTATAACATTCATATCTCTGGAAATTTGAAAGAATATTGTCATAGAAATACGCTCCAGTGCTCTTTCATTTCTTATCTAAAAAAGAATACTTTTTCCTAGTATCTCGCGTTGTCGTGACTTGTAACGCGTATTGTAAGTTTTGTAAATGTAGATCACTAATAATATTATTATCGTATGCTGGAAACTTTTCTAAGAAATAAAAATAATGATAATATAAAAAAATACGTATAACAACTATTATAATGTACAAGATTTCTTAGAACCTTTTTAATATAATTCTCAGTACAACGATTTTCTAGAAGCTCTTAAAATTTAAAACTAAATTTTTTGAATTAATAATATCTAAAAAGATGTAATATGCTAGCATAAAATATAAAAATTAAAAATTAATTAAATTTTGTGAATGTATAAAACATGAAATAATTTTTGTAATTATATTATTTTTTCTATGCATTACAACTTAAAAAAAATAATATAATTTAAATTAAAACCTTTCATTGAAGTTAAAATAATAATATTGTAAATTATTAAATTTAGTAACAATACATGTATAAAGTAATTTACAAGACAAATAAATGGTTATTAAATCAATTTTTTATCAATTAAAATACAAAATTATACAAAAAAAATTTTAAATTATTTATATAATTGGCAACTACTAAAAATCATTTTACTAATTATCTACCGTTTTTATTAATCTCGAAATCTTTTAACATCATACTTTGGAAAATAAATCTACTATTGCCACTTATTTAATAATAATAATGATTTTTCAATTTGTCGAAGGAAAAATTAATTCAAATTTGATTCCCTACAGCTATTAATTATTATTAATTTATTATTAAGTATACTTTTTATTAAGAATTTTTTTTGAACTTCTTAAGCCGCTTTTATTTTGAATTTTACTTAATATTTTTAAGCACTTAAAATATTATGCTTATAACGTAGCTAATCAAAGCATAGTACTAAAATAACGTTTATGACACAGAAAATTAAATCATAAATTTACATTTTAATAAAAAGAAATTTTTAAACAAAATTTCTAAGTTGTTTATTATATAGTTAGTGGTGGTAAAAGAGTGATGACTATTCTGTGTGATAGACGTTAACTTATTGCAAGAGAGAGGCTACGAAATGAACGGCTGTTTACGTGTTACGTAAAAAAAAAAAATATAAAAAACGTAAACACATTGTATACACACGCCAACACTACCTGCAACGGCGATGGTGTGTATCCGATTTATTTTCCAGTCACATCCGAAGTATATATGTTTTGCAAAAGAATCTGAACAGGGGCGACCCGTCCGAAGGGATCGTGTGAACAGTATATACTATATATTGTATATATTTTTCGATAAAAACGTACGTACTAAAGAGAATGTGTGGGTATGTGAGTGAGGATGGGCTATTAAGTGGTCCCCAGGGGTGGGTGGTGTTTTGGAGGTTCTTGGTATGTATATATATATTTTTGTTTTTCATATATATATATATTATGTATTAAACAGGCGCGGTGAAAGTTTCGGCACGCGCTCCGGTGCATGATTGATGAGAACTGGCGTTCAGTGTTAATGACGTCTAACAAGCTGCTATTCAAACCGCTCGCTCTTATCGGCAAACTCCTTTGACAGGGTAAAGGGATCAATGAGGTGGTGCGAGGAGTGGTTGAGTCTGTCGGTCGAGTGGGGTCTGTGGCTGTGTATATAATATAATATACGACGCATCGCGGTCACGTGTGCCAAAGAGATTCAATGAAACAATATTATATATACATATATATATATATATATGTACGTTTTTATTTACACCAAAAATGCACACCACCGGACGCACCCCCACCCACATTTGCTTCATACTCTTATACCAATCAAAATCAGTACACCACGACGGAGATGAAGCAAAAAAAAATCCGATGATATACGACGATAACTACGCAAATATAGATCGATCGTTTTCAGTCACGACGACTTTGCGATGGTCGCTAGCCCCAAAAACTCTATATTATAATATATAATAATATATTGTTATTGTATACTAGATATTATTATTATTATAAACAGCAGTTGTTATCGACGCGTGTCGTCAGCTAGTTCCGGCCCGCCGGGAACGCGCGTTTCCTCGCGATAGCACGGTCAGCGCCACCGTTTCCTCAACGAAACAAACTTTATGATATTATAAATAATATATAGGCGCATCAACTGAAAGTTCAGCTTTATTTTCACTCGATGATATCGTATCGCATATTGTTATCATTACTATAGTATACGTACAATAATAAACGGGTTTTTTTTTACTTCCCCGAAAAAAATCGCATTGTCGCCATATTGTATAATGTATGTTTGGTTCGTCGAGGGGACTTTTGTACATATATCTCGGTCATGCCGTGTATATATGTATATATATATCATACGCATCGGTATAAAGGGGACGATCGAAATTGAAATCCGTCGCCGGAAGAAAAAAATAATCTAAGGAATGCGCGTGTTTAATTAGTTTGGTGAAACGTTCTGGTCCTAGGCGGAGTAATCTATGTGTTTCATTTGTAAATACTTTCTTTTGTAGGGGAGGTTTTCAAGAATGTGTATACTGCATAGTCATTATACAAGTTTTCACTGTAGCTGACATTTTAGACGAGAGTCGTGGATATCTGTCCATTATAATACAGGAACAAAGTTAATAGACTATATCGGAACTCGTAAAATGTTAAACAGAAAAAATAAAATAATCCAATCCGTTTGAATACAGTTTTATTACATGCAATGCAAGTGAAGGAAATTATATATACACTATAACGGCTACCTCCATAAAATATATACATTGTAAATACCAATTTATTGTATATTTTTGAAATGTGAGTGCCAACATTCTTAAATAAAATAAAAATATAACTACTTAATATTATCAGGTAGATACATGTAAAATAAATCGTATATCACCAATAATAAATATCTTTATTATCCTATCGTACTTTAATACTTATAAGTTATGACGTTATGTAATATATTAATAATGTTTCTTCTGTGTTTTTAAGGGACTTAACATGAACAGTTTAAATGTGATTTAAGAAAAATGATTTTTTTTTTAATTTTAATACTAATTAAAAATATTATATATTTTTTAATATTTATTATGCCTATCATATACCTCTCATTGTTATTGTTGATTATTGCGCGATTCCAAAATTATAGATACCTAAATAAATCTAAATAAATCTTTATAACCAAATGTAATTTAATTTTAGAGTTAAAACAGTTGTTTATTGTAAAATCGCAAAAAACACACATTCATTTTTTAATATAATATTCAACAAAATTTTAAGGAGCTGATATTATATGCATTTAGTTTTTGTTATGTATTGTTTAAAAAAATAATCTTATAATCTATTTTTAAAATAATAATTATACCTATATTATAATACTCTATATGGTATTTCATTTTATTTCCTTTAACGTATAAAACTATATATTATAATTTATATTATCAAGTGATAATTGTTATCCATATAAATGTGTTTTCATGCTCAAAATTCGAATGTACATCTTACTACACTACTACATCTTACTACTACTACTTACACTTACTAGAACATAATAATATATAAAAATAATAATACCTATATTATTATGGATCTTTCACATTATGACGTAGTGATACACTCATAATAAAACTATATATTATAATATTATAAAAATAAATTATAATATATACCAATATGCCAAGCATTATATATATTTATAAGTTGTTTTCATATTGCAGGACATCCGAGATTTTTCAACCAGCTCTCATGCGGTCTAGATATCGTGTCCATGGCTGGCGAATGGCTGACGGCAACGGCTAACACGAACATGTTCACGTACGAAATCGCTCCAGTATTTATTCTTATGGAAAACGTAGTGCTAACCAAGATGAGGGAAATCATCGGGTGGAAGAACGGTGACTCAATATTTGCTCCAGGTGAAATTACATTAATAATGATAATATATAAAACAAACGATTAACAATAATTATTCATCATTGTGGTGTTCAAGATTGGGAAATTGCGTAATTTACGCAGGTGGACAATTATTTTTCCTTGTATAATTCGATTAAATATTGTTACCATGTTTTCCCGGTAGGTGGATCGATATCGAATATGTACGCGTTTTTGGCTGCCCGGCATAAAATGTTTCCGGGATACAAGGAACAAGGTCTTCACTCAATCAAAGGACAACTGGTCATGTACACATCAAACCAAGTGAGAGCCCGCATTCCGTTTCATACTATATATAATTTCAATATAAACTTTACAATGTGGTTTAAACGTTTTCGGACAGCTGCTGTCTGTTACGCGCGTCACAATTTTCAAAAACGTATGGGGCGAGGGTAGCTGAGATAAGACGTTTCGACACTGATAAAATAGGTACCTAACGATGAACCCATTTACATTGACGCGGGCGGACAGTTTTGGTCGATAAGACATATGGTAGACAAATAAGAGAATTAGCTTACGATGGGCATATATAACGTGTTTTATTCGTATATTATTTTACTACCTATAAGTCCCTTCCAGAAATGCATGCAGACAATACGCTTATTGTCAATAAATCGTTGGTCCTTTAAATGCACATTTTGCAGTTGTAGATAAACTGTATTATTTACCTATAATGATCTATATTTATTTACACACCTACATAATATAGAGGTGTATATTAGTATATATCACCGAAATTTGTTAAACCAATGATTTTGGACTTGCTGTAAAAGTTCGATTATATTTACGATACCGAAAGACTACAATGTAGTCAAATATAAATAATATAGTCACTACATGTATCTATCATTTAACACTTTTATGAAATGTTTAACTGTAAGTATAGTAGGTACACTATAGCAAGTACATACATAATATTACCGTTTTATATGTATACCTTAAGAGAACAAAGCACCCGCATGTGTTATCTCTGTCTTACATACATACAACTTAACAAATTTTCGTTCAACAGAATCCATTTTATGTTTTTAGCTTTAACATTAGAGTAAATTTACCTATTATCAAACTTAAATGTAAGAATTTTATCTAGGCAATGACATAGGCTTTTGTTAATATTATAATTTTAAAGTGAGATATCTTATATGGCTATAACTCAGCTTAAAATTAAAATATCAATAAAATCCTATGTCATTGCCTAGATAAAATTCTTACATTTAAGTTTGATAATAGGTAAATTTACTCTAATGTTAAAGCTAAAAACATAAAATGGATTCTGCTGAACGAAAATTTTCTTTGTTGTATGTATGCAAGACAGAGATAACACATGCGGGTGTGGCGTCCCTTAATAAATAATAATAGTCAACTGCAAGTAAAAACTGCAGATAACAAGGTATTAATGTTTAGTTACTTCATATATTTTTTCATGGAAATTTATGAGTATTAAATTCGTTGTTTTACTATGAATATAATAATTATGTGCTTACAATTTTTCATTGACCACAATTTATGATAATTATTTATAGGTTCTTATTAATTATCTAAGGAATTTGTTGATTAATTTTAAGCTAAAAATAAATCAGAACTTAAGAAATATTTTGCTTTGAATTAATTTATATTTTTGTACATATATTCGACCTGATTGATTACTCCTTTTCACAATTTGTTTACGCCCTTTCTTTGTTGGTGGGTGCTCTTATTGTATATTTCATTAGTAACTATAATATTATTATACTACTTTATTATATTAAACTTGTGGTCTTATGTTCAACGCAAGTAATATAATTACTTAAATATCAAATTATAATAAAATGTAGTAAACATAATTATCTATTGGTTATGTTAGGGAAGTAGTGTATAGAAATCAATAAAGAATTCCTTTAAATTAAAATAAAATGTATTTATGAGTACTTTTGTACACTATTGTACATTCGGTATAACTTATTATTATATTTGTCTTTTCTCCGGGTAATTTAATTAATTAATCCATTTATCAAATACATATTTATGTCAAATTAATTGTCGTATTAATAATCATGTACGACTTTAATCATAATATTATAAATTTATACGAACATAATATTATTATTAAGTATTAAGTATTAACATATGCATGTATTATAATCAAATATATGTAATATACATGTATTATATATTATGATATAATATGTATTATTATCTATACTGTTTTATGTTTTCAATAATTTTCAAGGAGAATCTTATTAATTATTTAAAAAAAACCCTGACGTTTATATAATACTCATAGACCTTATACTGTATAAGGTCTATGATAATACTACCAACGCCAATATTAATTTGAACGAGGGCAGACGCGCATATTTATATTTTAATAACACATCGCTCGACATACACAAAACAATCGACGGTCTCTGTAATGCACATGCATGTGGTGCAGCGAACTAGAAATTAAACTTCGTGCACTCGTCTACTGAAATGAACAATATGTGCATAGACTGTGTGCGTGTGAGTGTGTTATACTTACACCCTAAGAGCTGCAATGCCACGCGCATTACCATTTTAGGGGTGTATTTTTATTTTTCCGATTTTTTTTTTTTTAATTTAAAATAACACAAATACCAGATGCACCCATTACATATAAAAATACGACAGTGACTACTCGGTTGTGCAGCATTAGGTTTGGAACACCGCACGCGATACATTGATAATATTATAAGAGTATATTCTGTATGCAAGTACTATACGCGCATTGTAACTGATCAAAAGACGTATAATATTAACCCATGTTCGACCTCTACACCGTTCCAATAATTAGATAAATAATATGTTTATTAAGGTAATTCAACAATATAATTAATTATTATCTTAAAGAATATAGAATTTTGTTATTGGTACATCCAGTTTTTTTTCCGATCAACTGAAATATTACGATTTGTATTTAACGATGTTAAATACATTTTTTTCAAAAAAAAATTAATTAATCTATAATATGTTAGTTTTGGTGAACTTTTATTATTTTCCTATATTATTGATATATAGATACGAAATACCAAGATTGTAGAAAACTTTAACCATTAATATTTTATCGGCCGGTGGCCTTGTCAGCACAGTGAACCGCGGTATTGAACAAATTAAATTAGTATAATATATAGTTAGCATTTAGTGAGATAAAATGTTTAATTTTTATTTAAATACTTAAATCGATATACAATCGAGACTATTTAGATATTTAATTTAATAATTGTATTTAAAATAATATTCACGCGCTACTTTGTAGATATACCTACTATTTGCCTTCGGTATTGAGTAAAAAAAAAACTATGTTTAAATTTTACAATTAGCATTGTCCGATTCTGAGATAGATATGAAATATGTATTGGGAATTTTGAAAAATGAACTTAGTAGGCTATACCTACCTATGTAATAACGTAAACTTTTCTTAGTCAAAAGTTATTTATTTTATCATCAATCTTAATCCTTTTGTTTTTTCAATTGAGGAAAAGAAAAGTATATTTATTGAAATTTATTAATTTAAAAGTATAGATGTAATCTTTATAAACTTTAATCATCAATAGATCATAAAATTATTTTTTCTCAACACTTCATACAACAAATTTTGATTTATTATTATTATTATTTTACAGTTGTAATCATTTTTGTGCTTGCACAATAATATTAAAATTTATTTTATTCGGTTTTAAGTACGATAATATATTTTCACCCTTAAGTAATATTTTTTTTCATCATATAATTTACGATCGCAATGTTGAATCGTGTATTTATTATAATATATATATATATTATTGACGTAAACTTTTTCCGTTCAGCCCAAAGCCTTAAATCTATATATATATATATACTAAACAGACTGTTTTTTTCATACCCTTATAGTCTTACAGTTATATATAGTACAAGGGTGCATGAGCGCCATTTACTGCTCTTACGATTTCTGTCTATACCCGGACAGATCGAAACGTTGAGGCGTATATACAAGACTGTGACAAGAGAACGGTTCCAGATGTTGCTGTACCAAAGCACTTTGAATTTTGATTCGCTCGAGTAACGCTATGGGTTTTCGCTCACTACAACAATAATAATAATGTGTATAACAGAGACTAAAACAAATCTATTGTTTTCTGTGTATTATATAATAATATGTAGAGGTATCTACAGAGTCCTGCAGGTCACATTATGACATCCTTAATCGGCAAGAGCTTTGTACGGTGTGTGTGTGTGTGTATGTGTGTATGAAAGAGAAAGAGAGAACCCATTAAAACATTTTACATAGATTATACATTTATAACTAATTTTGTTTTATGTTTATTGTAATTTGTATGTACCTGTTATGTATATATGCATTACTTTTCCAATAAGAGAAGTGTTATAATATATAGAACCGTGTTAATGAGAGTAAGTGACAATAGGGACATTTTCCCAGAGGCACATCACTTTGTTTAATCAATTATATAGGCGTAATATATTTGCGCACACATTTAAAACTTTACTTAAAAACTAATACACCATTTGGACACAACTTTTTTAAAAGGATTTATATGTTTTAATTATTTTATAACATGATCGTAAATTTTTACCATTGCATGCTATATTGTCAGCACAGTATTATTATTATTTCCCTATAATATCCAATCAACAGAATATTTTTACCTCCTTATAAAAACATGCAGAATATACTATATTATTCTTAAACAAATGATTGTTTGGATAACAATTATTAGTAATTGTAAAAATAAAATTATATGCATTCTGTTCGTTATTCACTGCTGATGATTTGCTTGAATATTTAGGTAAATTTTAACGATCCAAACATATCCGCTTCCTATATTTTATTATAATACGAACTTCAGGGGTATAATATATTTTACTTACTTAAAAATCATCATCTAAAATGTGATGATTGTTATTCAAACCGGACCAAATCCAAAGACTTATATCATCAATCTAATATTCAATACACGTTTATGTCAAAAACTGACTGATGGCATATTTTTTCACCCCTAAAACGTTGCCACTCAGTATAATATTGTACTTCACACAATTCCTATTATAATTATGCTGGACCTTATAAATTATTGATAGGTACTTTTTGTTGCTTATTTGTAAATTAAATATTATGATTTTTTTTAAAACAAAGATTATTTCTATATATACATATTATATGTGTGTGTGTGCTTTTATTTGTAGAAGGGAATTGATACGTTTAATGAAAATTAAGAGATCTTATTTTGAATATTGTATGCCTCTGTAACTTGAATAAATATATTATCTACAAAATTATTTTGGCTAACATTTGGTAGTATCAGGAAACTCCTTTTTAAATAAGCGTACATTATAATATTATTATAATATCAGTACTTATTACTTTTTATTTTATACGAAAATAATACTACTCTGCAGCCCTTGGACCTAATTACCAGCTCAATACAAATTACTTAATTTCCTGAAGCAAACCAATATACCTATATAATCAAATTTAATATAAAATAGCCAATAATTTATGTACAAATAATTAATTATAAAAACCTAATGTATCAATACTCAATTATATAAATACCATGTAAATGAATTTAATGTTAAAACTAAAATAACTAATGGCTATTGCTGCCGAAGTTGTAAAAGATCAATAAAAAAAAAATACTGATCTGTTTTCGTTATTAAAAAATATTATAGTAAACGGTATATATTTAAAGTATTTCTAGTTATATCTCTATAAAAAAAAAAAAAAATTAACACTTTGATCACACAAAATTAAAATATTTTATTATTAAAAATACTATGGCATCAAGTATTAGATACCTACTGTATTTATCTACAATATAGTGGCAAAAATATAACACATTTATAAACTTATTTTTTTTCAGTCTCATTATTCGGTTAAGAGTTGTGCATCAGTATGCGGACTAGGAACCGAAAACTGCGTTGAAGTACCTAGCGATGGAAGGTAAAATATATTTTACTCTAACAATTTTTAAAATTTTAATTGATTTACATTTATTGTTTAGTTATTAGTTATTTTTTCAAAAAATATTTAAATCAAAATAAAATATAAAATACTCGATTTTTAAGGGATTTTGAATTTTTAAAAGTATATGATGATAATAGCTTTTAAACCTAATGGATTATACTATTTATATTATATATGACCTTTCAAGTACTTATAATATATTTATTTTTAATATTACGGTGATATTTTATGATAATAAATTGTAATGTAGTGGTAATTTATAGTGGTAATAAAAAAAAAAAACAATATAAATGATTTACATTCAACTTTTTTACCAGGTCATTTTATCGATTGCATAATTTGAATAATTTTTTTGGTTCCTTTTTTTTTTATAAAAACTAATTAAATGTTCACCTTAAGCCATAACATTTAATAGACTTTGGTTATTGTGTTTTTTTTTTTAATTTTAAATTTTGAATAATTACTAAACACCTTATATTATTGTTAGTTTATACATTAAAGGTGAATTTATTTTGTTATCTAATATATAAAAATTGTAATAATACAATGAAGAAGCAATAAAATTAGATTTATTAATTAAAATAACAATACTTATTAAAAGTTATTAATGTTAAACAATAAAAAATATGTTGTCATATTTTATACATTAACATTTCTAAAGCAATTTTAATTATTTTTATATTTAATAACTTTATTTCGAAAGTTTGATATAATCATAATGTGTAATTAAATATTAATTTTGGAATTATAACTTCTATTACATCGGATACCCTATAGATATACTATATAATTATAAATAACTCTTTAATAGTAATCATATTATTTATAATATTATTTTACGTGTATTTAAATACAAAATACATACCACACAATAATAATTCGAGCCATAAATGTATCTATATACCCATGTCAGAAACTTTAATTAAAAGTCAAACTTTCTTAATCTGTGCCTTTTTTCAATTAACTTAAATGATAAAAATAATTTTTAATTGTGATGTCAGGAATTTATAAATTATTACCCCGTCAAATCTTCGTGCACCACATAAATATATACTAGTAATATTCTTAAATAACGGGGTTTAAATTTATTGAAAAAATAAAAATTAATCAAATCGTTTGTTTATGAATAATCTATTTTATGTACAGCGACGCAATGAGATTTATTTTCAGAGGGAGTTATATAAAGTATTAGTTATATTAAAAAGAAAAAACTATCCTACCATTCCTTTGTGGTAAATTTTAAATATTCAAAAAAAAAATAAACCATCTGAATATTTTTGAAATTTTGTACCATTATTATATAATTATGTGTTTCAGAAGTTAGTACTTTAGTTAAAATAGACCTAATTAACAGCTGAAGCTTGAAAAATAAATTTCTAATTTCTAAAAAATTACCATTTTTAAATAATAGAAAATTAAGTAAAATTTTAATAATTTTAGATTGGTCATCTATTTTAATTTTTATGTTAAGATAATGCTACACTCACATTCATTCTGTCTATCATATCAAATTTATGTTAAGTAATTCGTGTTTAGTTTCGTTAGTTTTAAAGTAAGAGTTAATCGACCTATTACTGAATGAAGACATGTTTTTCTCTGTAATGATTTTCTCATTATTTTTATTCAATAACTAGTTATAAGTTTATAACAAGTTTTTATAGAAAAATCTTAGATCCTAGATCTCCTCCCTCTCTCTCGCTGCTATCAATATATTTCTTTGTAGATTTATATGATTAATCGTGTCTATGACTTTGGAACAATTTATAATACACTTTAAATAAAATTAAAATCACTATGGTGAAAAATTGTGCAATTACTATTCATCATATTTATTATAATATTGTATTGTATTTATCAATAATTTATAATTTGAATTCAATGAAAAATATTTTGGAGAGGGTTAAAACTCCCAAACTTCAATAATTGTGCCACTGATTATGTAAACAATAAACTATTTATGACTAGTTCTGTTAAAAATGTTAAAAGTATCTGTTGCTTTGTCAACTAAGATTATTTTATCCGAAGTCTATAATTTTTATTTTTATTATAAAATATGGTAATTTGTATATACATAAATCCTCGATTTTTATATCTTCAAGAGCAATGCCTATCACATGGTACCACAATGTAATTTTAGGGGTGAAACTTCACCCCACATGAATGTGTATATTAAAAATGCTTAGCTCCCTCAGAACATATTGCTGTGTTGCGCCCATAAAATACAAACATAAAATACGATTTTCTAACTTTCGCTCAGATTGCAGATCCATGTAATCCGTCAGACCGTCATTATACACACTATCAACATTTTGTATTTAGAAAATGTATATAAATATACTTCAATGTATAATAAATATTTACAAATAGAACTTTAATTGGTGTAATTTATATTTTCAGCTGTAGAAATAGTAGGTACTCATACTTTTTATTTTTATTTTTCTTAGTCATTATTTACATTTACTATTCATAAAAATATTTATTTAAAACTCATTATAATTTATAACGATAGAACATTTAATACATTTATTTTTATAATAAATTCATTTGTATTGCAAAAGCAGTTTAAAGTCTAAGTTTTTGCGTAATTAAACTTAAGTAAAAATATAATAAATTTCGTTAGCACATAGAAGTAGTACTTAATACTATAGTCTATATTAATTTAAAGTATAAAGTGATTACTAAAAATAAAATATTTTCATCAAACATTTAATAACAAGTTATAATAACTTATAATAATAAAATCTTAAGTTATTGTAGTTATTAATCAAACAGTTTTTTTAATTATTAAATCTGTCAAAAAAAAAACAACAATTGGTTTTCATTATAAATAAGCATAATTGGTACTTATACTTGCTTAATAAAAAAATAATATAAACCATTAGGATTAGAATTTGTTTTCTATTTTTGATTAAGTTTAATTTGACTTAGGGGCCGTATGATACCTTCTGAGCTGGAGCGCCTCATATTGGAAAGAAAGTCCAAAGGCCACATACCGTTTTTCGTCACTGCCACTGCCGGCACGACTGTTCTCGGTGCATTTGATCCAATCAACGAAATTGCGGATATTTGCGAAAAATATAAAATGTGGCTTCACATTGATGCTGCCTGGGGTGGAGGATTGCTTCTATCTCGCAAGTATCGATATCCGCGTCTAGCTGGCATCGAACGGTAAGTATTTAGTATTGTATCATTATATATTAAGTTCCCATTGCTATTTTTTTTTATCTACATTCTACACTATAATATATGTGATCAAATAATGTAGAAATATTATTACTATACCGTTGGTCATGACTCATAGTATTTATTAACACTTTAGTTTCTACGACCACTTTAATAATTCATATAAAATCGAGGTCTTATTTTAAATACTTCATGCATTTTAAAAATTCAATGAGAAAATATACTTTTTTAAATGTGTATAGCAACAACTAATACTTAAATTGATATTTTTTAAACACGTAACAGTTGTTTAATAATATATACTTTTATATTTATGAATATTATGATTCTGTGAATTAATTATAATTATCAGCACTTCTCATTGTTTACAAAAATGTTCAAAGATAATTCTAATAATCTTCTCTAGTTTTGTTTCTAAATATAATTCTTTTCTTTTAATTAGTATATTATTTATATATAATTAATATATTTAATTAATTGTATTCATAATTTAGTTGTATAAAGCATTAGTTTAACTTACAAAATAATTTCGCTTAAATACTAACTTGTGAAGTACACAAATACAACAGTTTGGAGTTATCTATTATTAATAACATTTAATTGATTTATCTTGAAAAAAAACATACTGATTATTTATAATGACAATAATCAGTTATTAAAACTAGACAATTTTAAAAATTAACTATAATAAATAAACAAATAGAACGCTGTCAATACGTGATGACAGGTTGAAAAAAAAGATAAGATTCAGTGTTTTGATTAATACATGTTATGCTTGTATTCATATCATATAATACACCTGTAATGGGATGAAATATATGTTCTTTTTACTGCAAATTTTTGTCATCGACGGTCAGTTTTTTCGGGGTCCTCAGAAACCTGTAATAAAACTACGAGTATGTATAAAATACAAATTGTCATGAATTTTTCGGAAACACGATGATTTGCGACATAATATGCTAATAAACTAACAGGTGGTTTTATTAGTATTATTATTATTATTGTTTGAAAGTACCTAGGTGTAAGTTAGTGGTTGACTTAGCAGCCGATAATCAGATTTCGAGCCAGCACGTGTCGTGTGGGCAGACGATGATAAACGAAGCCAAACCAAAGGGTTTTATGTGTAAACACAGTGCAAACTGCACGATAAACACATTCCCGAAGGACTCACTATCGTACGATTCAATATGTATGTGTCACTGGGTAGGCTTTACGTGTGGGTGTGTGTGTGTGTGTAAATCTACTGCCGCTAATATCACGTACTGCAGCTATTATATTATACAACACACACGCTGTTACGACGAAACTCGTGTGCCCGCAACAGTGGCCGCATCTCCCCTACACGTTCGCGTCCCTTCGAAGCGCTTAATTGAATTTTAATGTCCGTTCATTAATCAAACGTCTACCGTCTGCCCTGAACACACGACCCTAACCCCGCTGTAAATAATATTGCTTAAAAAAAAAAAATTAGATTTCCATTCTCGGCCCCAATCAGTTCGATGTAATCCTTTGGTGCGATCCTACAGCGGTTTTCTCCGTTCATATTTTGCTATCGGATCCATTATAATATGTATATATAAAACGAAGACAAATACGCTGCAATAACATGTGTTAAATGCAATCATTATTACTTTAATATTATTATTATCGTTATAATAACAAAATGATCATCGTTCACATCTTATTTATGGTACACTGATACACACACAAGTTATAAACAAAAATAAATACATAACAAATAATTTATCGTATAATATACGCATGATATTATTATATAAGACATTCGATGATTTAAATCTTGATTTCAATAATTGTTAAAACTTATAAGTTATAGCCAAGCTCGGAACTTAATACACTAAAAAACCCAAATATGTAATAAATAGAACAATATGCAGTTAAGAACTCATTAACGAAACATACAACAACAAAATTACTAAAATAAATTTAAGTTGAATTAAAATATTATATTTTACATAAATTATTAATATAAAGTGATAGACTTACCCGAATTAAATTCAATGATAAATTTTTTTTAATATTTTCTACTTTTAACGACCTTCTATTATTTTTAGTAGATTTTTGTTATCAGACAATTATTGATCTACGTCTATTGAATAATTAATATTATTAATGTTTCTAAAGTTTGATATTATAATGAAATTAATTTACTACAATCTGATAAATTATTTGTTTATGGTTATTTAAATCAGCCAATCAAAATTTGTTATTTATTAATTTCACTTTATTTTCAAGCTAAAATTTTGATTATTATTTATATCTATTCAAAACACAGAAATTATTTAATTTTATATTTCTCTAATAACAACTCTCTATTATTGAGATATTTTGTATTAAATTTGCGTTATTATTATTGGTTTTATACTCAAATAACGGTAATAGTAACATGTTAAAAACAATTAAAATCTATATGTATTCAATTTCAATTATTACACTCGCTATTTACGATTATACTTCTTATTATCTTCTCAAAATTAACTATTTATACTATAGCTAGGGTGAATTGCCTACATTCGGTCTAGGAGCTTAAGTCCCCCCTATAAATCCTTTATCATAACAGTTGTTCAAACCAACGGAAGTTCACACATAAACGTGACAACTCGTCTAGTATTTGATCATACATTAAACATGTATATTAATGTGTTAACGAATATACCTACTCTAGGAGGTCTTAATTATAAATTCGCATAATATGCCGACTGTTTTACCTATGACTGAATACTGTAATAATACCATTAGAGATCAGAAAAAAAAACATTATTCAGTTTGCGTACTATACAATTGAACATCAGAGAAAAAGAGGCTGACAAAATGTTTGTTAAAAAACTTTGTTCTGATTATGATTATCTTACTATATAATATGCCTAAATGTTTTTACGATCCTTATTAAATTCTATGCCAGCTAGGTAAACAAATCGTTTTATGTACAATCGCCAATTCTCTTAAATAATTTATACCGACAATTTAATTCCAAACATTTTGGTCAATAAAATGACTAATATATATGTTGTATTATTTATGAAGATAATATCATAAAAAATTACTGTATCGCAGACATAAATTGCGAAAATTAAATACAAGCCGCAGCCTGCATCGCGTAATTTACTGTGTGCGATGAAATTCCAAAAATCCAAACCATAATTATTATTTTCTTCATAATAATTTTATAATACATTATAATATTAAATAAACAGTATGTCGCATAGAGTAATATTACAGTATGGAATGTCTACGTCTTCAAAGTCACTTCGGTGCTATTTTCACAGATATTTCGGTTATGTTGAAGAGAGAAGGCGTAGGCGTCGCCGACAGCCGACAACTCGCAAAATTAATTGACTGCTTTTCCGCAAGAGGCAGCACATGATGGCTTGTTGAATTAAAAAAATACGACGTAAAAGTTGTAAAACATACACATGGAGGATTGCGATTACTTTCTCAGTCTTTCTAAAATAATTTTAAAGTAAAAACACCTATTGCGAATTCGAAAAATAATAACATTTTAGAAGTAACTAGATATCCATTTTTGAATAACATAACAAGTATTTTATCATAAATGTATAATATAAAAAATAACATATATTTTACTTTTTATAGCTTTAACTTTTTAGTATGCACAATTTAGTGTTTAAAAATATTGTATTTATAACTTTATAAGTAAGTATTCTTAAAAATTTTGAATAAATGGTTTATTTAAAGTAAAAAATGGGGACGAGTATACCGGTGAATCATGCTGTAATAACTGCCTTATATCCCTCGTGCATTTTTTTTTTTTTGCAAATGAATTGAAAAACAACGAACTCGAACCTCGGTCCCAACAACAATAATAGTGATAACTGATATAATAATATGCTTATGCATTACACGTTGATTATATGCATAGCTTAGTCGTTCAGATTATTATTTGAATTGGGAACGATTCGAATTTTTTTCAACTAATATCGCCGTAAGTGTCGGGCGTATAATTACAGTGCAGACTGGGAGAAACGTGTGCGCTTTACTGCAAGTCGTATCCTGCAGAAGGTAACTCACCCGTAGTCGAAGCGAACATTACACAAGCGAACTCTGCAGCCGCGTGCTCATGTTATAGTCTTTCGCGCGGAATGGATGCGAATTAGCCGTAGAACCAAATCCGGGATTATCCGGAGCACCGCGAATGTCTAACTTTAAATGTGAACTAAGCTCGTCCGCCTCACATTAATGCGTCCAAATCGTAAATATCCGACTGGGTCCTAATCCACCGCGCCTTCACCCCACTGCCACTTCAGCGCGACCCCCACAAAAGGATCGTAGGTTCTTTTATATGCATTTTTGTTGGTAGTTTTTTTCTTTCTCTCCCTATTTTTACAACACAATTTTTCATCGTTTGTGCAAACATTTTGTTTACCAATGGAATTATTCTCGGCACAACACCCCATTACTGTGGAAGTCCTTACCTACCTATACTTATTAATTTCCAACCGCAATATGTAGCCACACGGTTTCATAACTTAAACTGAAGTAACGGATATTTTTATTATTTACTTTTGATTATCATCCAATCAACTCTATTAAATAATAATTATTATTATTATATCGATATCTATACTCTATAATAAAGTTATTTTGACTTATTTTATATCTCATTCTCATAAGACTTAATTATATAGTTTTTAGATACTGAGTTACCAGCAGTATGCTTTTATACTTATCATAAACATTCAGAAGCTACAAATTAGCTCGCAATTTAATTGGTGCTTAATAATGATAAAAAAATTCTATCAATAAATTATTATTAAATTTCGTATACTTAAATATATATAGTTTAAAATATGAATAATTTTTATTTACAGTTCCGCAAACCGCGAGTCATTATTTGTATAAAATGTTGTAGGTACACTCAATCGATGAAAAATAGTTAAAATTACCTGAATTATAAAAATATACAAATAAAATAAAACATTTTAAATAAAAACTACTTATTTATATGATTAGTAAAAAACATATAATTGTCTAAGATATTAAAAAATGAAAAAAATGTTATTAACTTCCGAAGTCCTAGAGATATGACATTAAGAATATTTAGTTGTTTTTCTTTTATTTAAGGGCTAACTCGGTGACTTGGAATCCACACAAATTGATGGGCACCCTACTCCAGTGCTCCACAATACATTTCCGAGAGAATGTGAGTATTAAATTATATAGGTAAAAATTATAGTAATAGTTTTTAGTATATGTAATATATTGGCCTTATTTAAACTGTGCAACGTGTTTGATGTATGATTATCTGTCAATAATAAAATATATTTGATAATATAGTATTATTATTGATTTTATCGTTTTATCAAAAAAAAAAATGTCTTAAAATGTCTTAATGTCCAATTAACTAAAGAAATTTATATTTGTTTTTAATTATTATCATTTTAACATTAAATAATATTATATTATAGTCAAAGATAAATTATAAATTACTTTTCTAACCGTCAAATTATGTACTATAATAATAACTATTACTCGTTTTAAATTAATGTAAAAAATATGTTTAATATAAATGCTAATGTGGGACAAAAATAATATTTGATTTAGTGCATATTTTAGTGAAGAATTTGTCATGAAATTTGACAAAAGCTTAATGTGCATTCATAGAGGGCGTTATGAAAAATGTTTAAATTTACAATTTTATGGTCTGATAGACAACCCAAAGACATTGTCTCGTGAAAATTGAATAAATGTAATAATACGAATACCAAAGTCTAGAGTATTTCATAAAAAAAGTGTTTTTTTTTTTTCATTTTAAGTGTCGTAGTATTATTTTTTCAAGTTTAAATTGTATTCAACTATTTGAATTTTAAATTTCTTAACAAACCATTTCATATTATTGAATGATGCGATATATTGTATACATACTACCTATACTCGTATTGTATTAAATGATGTTGTTTTGTATATATTTTTTTTTTTTTTTTACATTTGTCTATAGTTTTCAAATAAACAACTTGAATATTTCTACCAAAGCTAAAATTTCATAAGAATAAAAAAAACTAATCTAAACATAAATCATAAAGATAGCATTTATAAAATAAAATATTTATATTGTTTAGTAATATATTGTTATTTATATTGTTTTATATAGGAAACAAAATAATGCTACGCTTTAATGTTATGTTTCCGAGTAACTATAAGAGATAAATAACAATTTAATCTGTATAATATTCAAATATGAGAGTTTTTATCAAACAATATAATTTAATTAATAGTCTTCATCTTTTGCTAAAATGGGCTATATTGCTCCTTTCTAATTACGTAGTCTTGAACTTATTATTTTATGTATACAATGTATACAATGTACCAAGATAAAGCATTTACATTTAATTCTATGTATAGTAAATAGCAATGTTTTCATACTTATGGCTAAAACTTTCATCTTATATACTTACCTATAAATGTTGTTTTCATTTCACAACCATCTATAAATAATTTTATAAAAGTTACGATGTAACTTCAACTGCTTATGGGTTTTAGCGTTTAAATTTCCACTTATGTTCTTATAAAGTTTTATGGTAATTTATTTATTATTTTTGACATTTTGGCGTGGATTATAAGCCTATATACAACAAGTAGGTACCATACATAATACATGACATATGATGTACATTTTCAACCTCTCTTTCGTTTATATATACAATTTATTATTATATTTATTTTAACAATGACTAGTCAAAAAAAAAATACCTAGCCAATTTTTAGTAAAAATATCTACAGCTTACAATAATACAACCAAATACAAGTAATACAAACATATTTTGCAAATAAAATGTATGGTAATCAATAAACCCATACCATTGGTTAACCTCCATCAGAACTGTGGTTGGTGATTTTAAATTTAAAAAAAAACAGTATTTTTTGTTTAAAACATACTGTCTTGTTAACACACACAATAATACGGACAACCGACTTTGAAATCACTTAGATCTAGCAAAACTATAGGTCACCATTTCACGACAATAGTCAGGTCTCTTAAAACAAATTTGAGATTTTGATAATTCAAAAATAAAAAAACTTATACATCAGATTATCCGACACTTATCAAACTTTTTGGTAATTAAATTCAGCTTTTATCATTTTTTAAATCAAAACAATAAAATATTCATAAATCATTTCAGTTATATCATTCAACGCGATTATGTGGAGTACATATAAAATTGTTTATTGTTATAAAATTATATTTTATATCAATGCTATATTAGTATAAAATGTATACAATTACTACAGCATAGGATTATCCAAAAATTTTTAAATAAACAAATTACTACTGACACAGACAAACAAGTGCGTGTTCACTGCAACTCGTTTACGCAAATTCAAAATTTGTATACCTAAAAATCGACGAATCGCTTGAACACGACATATTTTCACACATAATATATAAATTATCACAGACTGTAATACACATTATTAATTATTTGAAAACAATATAATCTTATAATGTGTAAATTATGTCATTTTGGATTTTCCGTACCTAACTACTTTTAGTACAGTTTTGATGGTTATGGTTCAGAGTAGTGGTGACTAGTGTGTTGACGACATAAACTCTTTAATATGAAGGTAGAAATTTCTTGCATTTTTGAAACAAGGCATGTAAGTGAGAAGGAAAATTGGTACGCAAACGAGTTATAGTCGTGCGTGTTTAATAAAAAAAAAGCCTACACATTATTCCTTATAAAACGACATTGTCTTCAAGAGAACTGATAATAATTATAATAAAATGTCACGTATGATAATATTTCAGGGACTTTTGATCAGCTGCAACCAAATGAGCGCGGAATACTTGTTCATGCAAGACAAACTGTACGACGTCCAATACGATACAGGCGACAAAGTAATACAATGCGGTCGTCACAACGATGTATTTAAACTTTGGCTACAATGGCGCGCCAAGGTATCAGTATAATAACAGTTTGATTTTTGTTGATAAGTTGTACAGTTTTTTTCGGGCTTACTTAATTCCGATGTAATTTTTTTTTACTCTACTCCACTGCGTCACATCCAGGGTACCGAAGGTTTTGAAAAACACATGGACCACTTGATGGAACTCAGTGAATATATGGTGGAGAAAATTAAAGCATCGCCAGACAAATATTATTTACTCCTTGAACCGGAAATGGTAAACGTCAGCTTTTGGTACGTGCCGAAGCGCTTACGAAACATTCCACACTCTCCGAAACGAGCAGAAAGCCTTGGCCAGGTATAAGTTTCTTAATTAAATTCCAACAGTATTAAATTTTAGAAATTTACATGTCTATAATATTACAATATCTGAAATATTCGCTTCAGATGTATTATGTATAACCGAACCGAACAATAACTATATTTATGGTATTTACTCATACTTATACATATCAACTTGTAGTCGCAAATTTTCTATAAGTTTAAGTTGATCAAAAAACTTAAAATTTGTAATTTTTTTCATATGAACGATCTTTTTCAAAAATATTATTTTAATAAAAATGTTATAAGTTTAGACTATAACAAAAAAAAAAAAAAAAAGAAAGTACGAATATTTAATTGCCTAATTAAACTATATGTTTATTAAATTATTCATCGTAGTAAAAACCTAATTTGAGATACCTTAAAAAATATTTGTTTTATTATAATATAATAAGTGTTTTAAGTATAAAATCATACAAGACTCAATAATAAATGCTCGATCTACAATATGACCATTTTTTTTTTCCAAAAATATGTAATGTTTATTATTAATATTCTCTAAGTTGCTATAGTTAACGATCTAATATAACAATTTACAATACCTAAATGAATTTAAACTGAACATATCACAGTTCAAAGTTTGGTTTAATAACATATGAAATTCAAAAATTAATATTGCACCGGCAATATTATTTTTATAATAACATTTTTTTAAATTATTGATTGTAATCTTCTTTAAAATCAAAATTAAATCAGTTTCACAAACAATAATCCTTTCAGTTAATACTCATTACTTATGCATTGCACGATTATTATCATTATTTATTAGAATAATACATAATAAGATGCTTAAATTGCGTTGAATTCAAATATACATTAGGTTTCAAACGTGTTACCCCTTTTATTATTTTTACTGTGTAAACAATAATTCCGATAAGCCTGTTTAAACATATCATAACAAATCACTAAGTCCCTTTATATCGTGAGGTCTCCCCTTTATATTCCCAAAAAATAATTATGCAATAATTCCATGGTAACCATAAAAATTATCTATACCAAGAGTTAAAATTACTTTTTTCCTTATAACTTGAATTTTCTAAACTATGTGTTAATAAATATAAAAGCCAATACGTATATAATTCAATAATAGCTGACTAACTCATTTAATTATTTTAAACAATGCATATAATCATATTATATTTGTCATTATTCATTAAGAACAAAATAAATTTACATTTATTTCGTGCTTAAAAAAACGAACTAATAAAGACAATTTCTAAACTAATATTATATCTATATTCTATATTATAATATTTTATTATGTCAGCATAAAAAATACAAGCACATGTATAAGTCTATAAGCTATTTAAGTTAATATAGGTACTTATAAATATGTTATGAGTATATTAACTTCTTAAGTAAAAATAAATTAAAATAATAGAAACGTATTTTCTTGGTTATATTTTTAATGTAGATGTAAACATTTATTCGTATATTTTAATTTTTTGTATAAAATAGTAGGTATAAGTTTTAGATACTACATATTTATATATTTAATCAATGATAATATTAGTTTACATGCAATCGAAACATAATAATCCTACACAAAGGCTCGTTTGCCTCACAATAGTGAAAATTTAGTCAATAATATAACAACTGATTTTATATTCAAAGTAGATACTAAAATGTATTTAAAGCATACAATTTTCTGACTAGGTTATTTAAAATATACAATATAAAATAGAATTTTGTCAGCCCATACCTGCAAAATATAAATTGTTATCATCGTACGGTAATACTTAACCGTCTACTTTCCGATAATATAAATATGTTACAGATTACGCCGATTCTGAAGGGCAAAATGATGGAAGCCGGCACGCTAATGGTCGGATATCAGCCACTAAACGAAATACCGAACTTTTTCCGGAACATTATATCCAGCGCTGCGGTCACCAAGGAAGACGTCGACTTTTTGCTGTCCGAACTGGACCGCCTGGGACAAGACCTCTAAATCGAAAGCAAAAGAAACGATTAATGATACATTTCGTTAGTCTCTAGCATATATTTAGTTATAATTGAGTTATGATTTCGTAGACGCTATTATCACGACTCCCGGTGAATGGTTCTATTCCAGCCGCGCGCCGCCAATAATAATACTAGGTACCTAGCCTGTGCTGCGTTTACAATATAGAAGATAAATCGCATATTAGTAAATAACTTTTCGTTTTAAACATATTATACTTACACATAATAGGTGATAAGCGTTATCCCCGATTTTCCTGAATTGTTATTATTAATATTGTTGTTGTATAGTAATAGCGGTTAAAATGAATAGTGTGCATATTATTGTACTATATAATATATTATAATATGCATCGACCGCACGTTATATTATATTATAAAAATTTACAATATTATTTTTGCTTTTAAACATCGAATTTTCGTCGGTTGCGAGTATTTATTATGTTCCTCTCTGTTTTTAAAACGTATTTGGATGATAATGGAAATCCACTAATAATTTCTTTACGGGCATGTATTGTAACAACAGTACCTAATAATAAAAAGGTACCCACTAAGATTGACCACTTCTGTTCAATGACCACGCACTAATTTAATTTAAAATCAAGAGAATTGGTAGTCCGTTTAAAAAATATATTCAAAGTTTTTACTCTTAACCCACAATAATAGTATCAACATCCTAAAAACTGTTCAATCAATAACTGTTTCGATCGTATGATGGCAATAATAAAATAACAATATACCTATCCTTTATGGTTCGGTACTCTAAAAATAATCACGTAAAGCAATAACAACATTTGAAACGAAAAATTGAAGACTGTTAAAGTAATATAATTGCTTACGGTTTATCTAAACTTTCATACGTGATTTTTTTTTTTTTTTTGATTCGTTTGCGTCTCATAACCTAATATACATTTTTTATTTGCATGCTTAAAAAAACACTATAGTGAAAAAAATTCACAAACGTTTATACGTTTGACAATAATGCACTTTTTTTATTTATATATACACCATTGTTTTTTGCACCGTTTTATTCGCACATTTGCACAAGAGTTTTTATTCGCACTGTTGCACTTCAAAATATTAGACACATAATATGTCTTTCACAGTTAACACTTTCTATATTTTTATAAGCATGTATACATAATATTTATATATAATATAATAATAACATAAACATGGACGTCCCTGAATAACTGAATGGATACAACACAAACGACACAAAGTCCATGTCCGCCCCGAATTTTCCAAGCTTAATATTTAATACATTACTATGACCATTAAAAACACGAAAAGAGATAAAATTTGTTACAAAAATCTTCTTTTTATAATTTTCACATTCTTAATGTTTTCTAAAAAAAAAAAAAAAATGGACGTCCTTAAATATGTACAATATTATTATATTATTTTATATAAATTATACATGACTATTTTGAACTTTTTATTCAATATTATATTTACAATATTTATACTAATTGCACCATAGCGTAGTCACTTAAAATGCACATTTCACATTTTGCACATTTTGCACTTTTTATTACTTCATAATTATTGCACTTTTTTTTTTATATTGATTCAATACTCTAAGATGATATTCAATATTATATTGGCGCGCTCACTTAAATGCGCGATTAGTATTAAATAAAACATCACAATATTGTTACCTAATCATTTTATCATTAGCAACTTAGAAAATATTTTCTTTATAACTAGACATAATATTATTATTGCCATTATACGTTCTATCTGAATTTTTTTGAATACCTTCCAACAGTTCTCCATTAACCATTATAATACATTACAATATCTATTGTTCATCTCGTAAAACTTTCTCCTTTATCGGCGCCTCACCCTCTCGCTGAACCCTATTCTAATTTGGCACCCTTCAGTAGACCATTCACGTTTTCCAAGTCATTCATCAAATCTTGAGCACCTAGGGCACCCATCGCAGAGAACGTATTCGGTCGTTTTTTTCCCCTACGACGTGCGTTCACGATATAATATTATTTTATCGAACTTCAATCAAGACATATTGCTGAACCTGACTACCTTACATTTTTAAATTCGCTTAACTACCATCTATTAAGTTTGTGTCGTTTTAAGTAGTTAACGTTGTCTTAAATGAAATCTATCCAAATTGAACTGAAAGTTAAAGGCGGCTATATTGTGTATTTTCACATCTTGTCGTCGATCAAACACCTGCATTAAATAATTATAATCGCGGGTTCAACGTAATGTAGACCTGCACTTTCAACAATAAAATTATAGATGGCGGAGTTGGGTCTAAGGAGATAATATCACTATCGGGCTCAAAATTAGTTCGCTTAAAGTTCCAATTCTGCTATTGCCCGATATGGTACCAGACGATACACATCCGGTAAAATAAAATTTTACCCAAATACAAATCACTTTATCTATATTACATCACAAAATATTTGCATTATGCGCGTAAATTTCCATTATATACTGGTTCACCTGATTCAAGAAATATATAGATAATATTATATCATTAGAGGTACCAGTTATACCTACAAAATTCAATTTGTTATCGATTCAACTGATTTCAGTGTATTATTGATTTTCGTTAATAACAGTATTATTATATATTTTGTTTTTATGACATTTATTTATATGTTTAATACCTATATAATATTACAGTCGTCATATTGTTATGTTGTTATGTTTGAGCCAAAATCTGTTTTATTATATGAAGTGTCGATGCGCATCGTTTACATATATCAATATATTATTATCCACGTTATATTTTATTCCTATTTATAGTATAATAATCGGAAATATAAATTTTAATATTTAGTCGACAGTAAATAATTGCTTAGTAAAAAAAAAAAAAGTGTACTTAGGAAATTTTTGTTTCTTTGGTCGCGAAATAAGTCGTAAATACTGCAACAATATGATACTTGTCATGATCGAAATCGATCACACAATAATAACATTTTGAACCACCTGATTTATTATTATAGAAATATTTATATTACATTTATTGTTCAACAACTGCCCTTCTAAATCGCCAGTCAATTGAAACGGAGAATAAACTAAATCGTCCGTTTGTTGTGCTAATAATTTTATCAGAGTGATTATATTAACATGTTTATGACATTTAACACATATTATTTAATAATATAAATACAATATGTCAATATAATATTCTATATTATTTAAATATTATTGTTATAAATTATACCGTTTTATAGTGTATCGTGTAATCACGACGAGTTCAAGAAAACACAATAATATTATTCACTACAATATAACTACCTATCATCTATTTTAATAATAATATACCAATCGAAATACCGAGTCAATATGAACAAATAAGTATATCGAAATTCGAATAGCATTACTAAACATTATTAGATTTTTTTTTTTTTTAACACTTCTACTTAATAGATGTTTTGATGTGTACACTAATTTATTTTTGTGTTATAGACGTTATAATATATTATTATAAAATATATATATATACAAACGTACAATATGAACACAGCACGATGCACTGTTCTAATATATTATATATTATTATTATAGCTAGACATATTCTATTATATACATACTTACTGTTAAAATTTTAAAAACGTAATGTGTTGAATATTATTATTAATTATTTTATTGTTGATCGTGTTACCTAAATATAATATATTATATAATACTTCCTCCCACGTCTAGTACATTACTGTTTTCATTGATTTCTGATCGATGACTTAGTTGATAGTGCACACTGCACACGTATTATCATTTTGTCTGCTTTTTCAAAATATAATTTTTTTATAGCATTAAATGAAATATTTTATTCTCTGTATTTTGTGATACATGTTTGTTTATATTTTAAAATTATAATTAATTTTAAATTACATATATATATATCTTTAAAGATATTTTATATTTTCTGATGTAATAATGAAACATTATTTGATGTTCCTAAATGATTTCATAGTTTTATTAATTAATTGAAAACAATATGCCTGCGCTAAGTCATCGATACAGACTATTTTAGTTTGTAATTTCTCCAAATATTGTGTAATACAGATAAAATGTTTGTTCATTTTTTTTTCTGTTCAATTATTGCTATTAAACCTACAACAAAATGGTAATAATCTTGCATATTATCACTATTATACTTACAGCACGCGTTTAAGTTATTACTACTATTATACCTATTGCACGCGTTTAAGTTATTATTATTATTATTATTATTATTATTATTATGTTTGTAAACGTATCAGTGGCTGTTCGAGTAAAACAAAGTGATCGTTTCAATCACTATACTCGAACTCATTGCCAATAAAATTCATATTTAATTTTTTTTTTTTTTTTTTCATTGTCATGTTATTTTATATTAATATACAATATATTATATGTTACCCACTTAAAAATAAAATATTATTACCAGAGCGTATTCGTTGATATATACATAAATAAATGTAGGTCTTGTGTTAAGCCTGATGCATGTTTAATGCCGGTTTGTTGATTTGTTTTAAAACTGTTTCATGTAGAAAAAGTATATGTTAAAAATATAACCTAATATATTATAATACAATATCACTATCGTCTGCTTTATTTTACAAAATAAACTATTATATTAAATGTGTCGATTTGTGATAGTAGGTATATAACCTATGTACCTAATAGTAGACATTGGTAATTAATATTATGCGTTATGTATTTGATAATTATTACGAAATTATAATTTATAAATTAAAAAGTGGTGCGCCAACGACAGTTAAAAAAAAAAAAAACGTACCTATTTAAATGTTCAAGTATAATGTTCGGCCAGTTGTGAAACACTTATAATACAGTGCAATTTTGTAATTTTACTATTTTGTACAATATATTTAATAGTAAAATAACACGATCGTGATAAACAACGGTTTAAAAAAAAAAACATACCAAATTCAATAACAATTACCCATCAAATAATCGTTCACAAATACGATAAGATTAGTTTAAACATTTTTCATATATTTTGATCCATTACTGAAATATTTTATAGATTTATCTAGTATGTGATTGGATGTCTATTTCTACGAGTCATATAGTAATAAAGCTATGGCTAAAAGCACAGAACGGCATACAAATGACATTCGAATAAGCCGATCAGGTTTTCGTATTTAAAGTTTGATCTTCCGAATGACATGAAAACAAACCCGCGCACCAAACCGAAATGATACATTTATGATTTATTTACCTAAATAATTATGGAAACGTTTACTACTGAACTTACTGCGTTCAATGCCACGATCGTTGAATTTAACCAAACCATACAGTATCGTAATTTGTAGGCATAAGAATACCTACTGGTATAATCAAGGGGAACTGATGTAAAAGCATTTAAATTTGCACGGGTTAAACAGCTGTTAAATTTTATGAATGGCCACCGATTTCTAAATAATAATCGTTATTTTAATACGATACATTTTTTTTTTAAAATTTATTTTATTCTAAAATGTTTTAATATAACATTAAAGTATTAAATATGGAGTAATGTAAAAATAGAGCGTAGGCGTATTTTATATGTCTTTACTTTTTAATAATCAATTAATAAATTATTTATTATTTATGTTATGTATATTACCTACGTACACACGTTTACTACCTTCCCATGTATATACGTGTATATACATGCCATTATATAGGTGTATATATATATATATATATATAATATTCGTGATGGTTTGATTATTTGATAAATTAACTTATCCTAATTCAACTGCAGGCTTACCATGTATTAGAAGAAATAGGTTTATTTATAATTTATTAAGAACGCTATTAATATATTAGAAATACTTAAAAGAATATTATATTTTTTTAAATACAAAATACTACAAATAATACCACTTATATGTTTTACAACGTATTACCATTGACTATAAATATTGGTAGGTATTTAATATTCATAATCAATGGTATTACGCATCAATGCATCGTGACCACAATCGGAGATATACGCAAAGAGAATGCAATTATTGAGATCTTTGTTTACATAAGGAGTAAGAACATAACAATATGCAATCATAAATTACTATTTATTAATATTTAGGCATTTGTGTGTCTATATAAAAAGACTCACACATATAGGAAGATTCTGATGACACTCTTTTTAGCCATTGACTAACAAAAGGTAGCTATCATTACAAATGTTATTAGTTACCTATTAATTATTACAAATTTTTTAGTACATAATATTATTATATATTGATATGATAATCCAGCCTGTAACTTTGAATCATCTTGTAAACATACTGTAAATATTTAAAAAAAAATTCACAACTATAAAATATAATACTCGTGTGAATTCAGAATTATTAATAATCCGTTCGGATAAAACGTAATAATTTATATATGTTAAAGTGTATGAC